GCCTGCCGTGGAAGATGACGAGCCCACTATGAAGGCGACTAGTTATCCTGGACAGGAGTGGGTACCTCCCATGTGGGATGGTGACTGAGCCCCAGTCTTTAGTTCGCCCTTTTTCCTTGTGATCATCCCAAATTTGGTCCATTCGCGCTAATTCCCCCCGTTAATGTATTCGACGCGAAGTGATATGGTCGCACATTTCCTTCTGTGAATATCACACATCATTGCATCTTGGTTGATCTACGCGTTTTGAGCGAAATTCGGATACCCTCATCGTTTTTCCTGGTACACATTGGACAGTCTCGGTCTTCATCTTCTTTTCTTCGTCCAGCTTTGTTTCTACTTCTGTAAATTGTGGGTAATAGTAGATAAACCTTTTTACCTAGGGCAGTGCAGCGCCAGTTCCGCACTACACATCCCTTACAACATCGATTTAATTCACTATCTGCTCGGCAAGACAACGTATCCAGTTTCTTCCACAGTTCGGACCTGATGGGGAGTCAAACTCGTTGCCAACACCAAGATCTCTGTACCGTGGTCCTTAGGGGCCCACCTCTGACGATGAGAGAAGAGCAGAATATTACCAATCCAGACACAAACATTTGCTCAATCGACAAAGACGTAAAAGCTGCAACACACCATCTCGAACGTTTCGAACTTCGCGATCCGGCCGGGTTTTAGAGAGGCAAACACTAGCGGCGCCCAAACACTGTTAACGCATACCTACCTCAAACTTTTCACTCGTGTCTGGACAACGCTATGCGGGTATTGTGTGCGACGTCGTCTATACCAAGGGAAATTAAATCCCCTTCGCCCACTACCGATGGAGCCTTTTCCGCCGACGCTTGATCTTTCTAACGGTACAACTCACTCCTCTTTTCATCAGTCATTCTGCTCAACTCCGATAAACCACCCGTACGAGAACCTCTAGAAATAGCATGCATAAATCATTCAATTAGAACGCCACAATGTTCCGCAAGATCTTCTCTGTACGAACAATGCGTCAACGCATAACACCTAGCGCCCAACCCATGTCGCGATTCGACAGTCTCCGTCCAAATACTCTCGACGCTGTTGAAGCTTCAAACGCCGAAACCGAAGAAGGTTTCGGCTTCATAGTCGCCTACTCAACTTTCCACCCGTGCTCAACGCGTCCCCTTTCTTTTCCGCTATGCAGCGGGATGGTAACGCCAATGCCTACAGTATTGGAATCCACGTCTCAAAAAAATGACATGAAGGAGACTATGAAGGATAGTAAGAGAGAGAAAGAGGAGGGTGTGGAGGAAGTAGCCTTTAAACCATGGCCATACTCCCTCCCGTCATGGCTTCGACCAAAAGCTAGTACAACCTTTTCACTCATGAGCGACAGGACCCTTCCGATTTCTGCTGTAGTAGATTCTGAGCGCACAGGCGTTCTACAGTTCATTCTCTACGGTGTCCCGAATCCAGAACGCTTCTCTTACAGCCAGGAACTAGTGGCGCCGGGTAGTCTTTTGCATAAGGTTCTCCATGGGATCAAGGAGATGGATGAGTGTGAGGGTACTGTTGCTAGTGTCACCGTTGTCGAAAGTGAGAACGTAGACTTGGGCGAGGAGAAAATCAAGAAGGAAGAAGATGAGGCCATAGTGGTGAAGGGTATGCAGAGCAAGGTTACAGTGGAAGATGTGCTGGAGAAGAATAATCATATGGGGCATGGGATGATAGCGAAGCAGCGCTTAGCTCCTTCTCAGAATTTAACTTATGATAAGCACAGTGCATGTAAATAAGGATGAGGACGAATACTTGCAGCCTAGAGCTGACATAAAGCTCAGATCGAATCTAAGCAACGTTCGTTACACCATGTGTCTACTGACTTGTATGTGGGCAAAGAAAAGTGACTAGGCAGCAGTTTTCCTGCTCCTAAACAATAAGTGTACGACACATTACACTAAGTTTTTAAACAATGTATCAGATAGCCATGAACGTTAAGATAAAATTCCTATTCTTAGCGCATGTGTCTTTCGCTTAATATGTGTTAGTTTCCTTCTATTCTAAGTTATATAGAGTGATACTAGTTCTAGTTAGAACTATTATGTTTGCTCTATACATGTATCTGTCGTAGACACGATGGCTTCTTTCTTATTCTATCTTTTGTGACACTACTTTACCTACCAACCTCAATTATCCTAAAGACATACAGATATTATGCAAGAGACTGACAAGCTCTCGGCTTCACTCACAGAAGGCACGGCTTAGCTGCATTAAGTCGGAGTCGGTCTCTGCAACTTTGTTATCTCTCGCGCGTTAATCTTCCCTTCTAATAGAAGCTAATGTGAACACTAACATTTAAATTAACAGCACTAATTTTCACCCTGCTACTCTCCAGTGCCGAAGAACTTAGAAAAGGCGCAGGAGACCGACGACCGCTGCTTACTCCGGCAGCGATGAACCCAGCATGTCTCCGAAGCTCCGTCAACTCGCGCCCAACCCTGTCCCTGCCAGTGTTCGTTATGTGCTAGCCAACTCTACTCCACCAAGCCAAAATGTTTCAATTCAACCCGACAACACTGCTATTGCGTCTGATACAGGCCCATCGAGCAAGACTGCCGAGAGACTCTCCATTTTACGCAAGAGGTCCACATACAAACCCATGTCCAAAACTCGCAAAAGAAGAAATGTGGCAAAAGATGCCCCCACAACACGTGAGTCGTCGGATAGTCCAGTTTGGCAATTGGAACGGTGACAGCCGGAGCAGTGAAAGACATGGAACCACACAAAGCGATGGAGGAACTACTGAGCTAGTTTGACGAGCATCAGCTGGGTTGGCACCGACATAGCGGTTCGTATGGATTGGCTAGCATGCCCTACATTGAGAGGGGACTGCCAGTGACATGGGCATGTGTGAAAATTGCGAAGAGAAAACAGCAGATGAGGGACGGCGACCTCTAGGGAGGTGATTAGAAGCACGACTGGTATAGAGAGAATTCATCGGAAAACATGAAGTCTACGACCGGAGGGGAAGCTACACAGTGGATGGAGCCGAATATGGGTTGAGCTGATGTGTGTTTGCGTAAAGATGACGTGCAAAAATGGGGCTATGAAGGTTTTTTCTCTGGGGCAGCCTTTCTCCCTGGTTTCTTATGCTCAGTGTCGTAGATGATGACACCAAGAATACCAGCATTGACGAGGAAAAAGAGTATGCTCGAAGCCCAGAGTCCGGGAACAAAGGTCGAACAACCGTTGAACTCAAGTTGAAAGCCCTGCTGGAGCCAGGCAACTTGGCCCACAAGCCAGAGCAGAAGTGCTGTGATCCCAATGGGCGCTGAATGCAGGAGAGTCGAATCTGGAAGGTAGTATGGGAGAAACATCATGTACCAGAGGAAGTACTCGACAGAGTTAGTATTCATGCAAGACCGACAATCCATCGTATCGCTTACCTGGCTTGTGCAGACCTTGTTGAAGGTAACGAAGGCAAACGTCTGGGCTAACATCGTGTTCGGAAGATCCTTCTTCGCTAGCGCTAGTGGTATAAAGAAAGCACTGAGAAGCAGTTGCGGAAGGAATGCCAAACGCTCCAGTCCGGAAGATAATGTGGTCGGCTCCAAGTTCGTAGGCGTTGGGGACGATTTCAGGTAGAGGAGCGTATTGTAAGGCGAAAAGTTGTGGCGGTGGTCCGTACGAGTCAGATGGTAAAAGTAACTGTGCTCGAGGAATGGCCATCCGTAAACCTTGTACATAAGCAGGTTCAAGCTCGCAAACGCAAGGAGACTGTAGAGTGCGAAATATATTCTCATGGGATTGAGAAAGTTGCGCGTTCTCTCAAGCAAGGAAGTCGATGGTTGCTGTCGGATATCTGCCCTTGTTGCGACTTGCGTGTCATCGAGGAACCAGACAATAGAGGCTGCGTAGATGAACGGGTAGATTTTGAAGTGCACTGCGAACCCGAGCAAGAACCCAGTAAGTGCTCTTTGCTTTGCCAACACCGCCCAAAGCAATGCAGTCACGAATACTCCAAGCAGTCCCTCGGAGCTACCTCTTGTACTGATAGTGGCCACCATTGGATTCAGCAGCCAAATGCTGGCAAATTTGAGGGCTCGCTCATTGCTCATCTTCTTGTACTGTTTCAAAATACGAAACATCATCCAACCTGTAGCGACATCGCCGATGGCGAACAGGACCTTTCCGAAAGAAAACCAGAATTGCCCAGACCATACAGTAGGGTAGATGAGCCACGCCAGGAGGGGCGTATAACGATACGTGTCCCGTGCGTAAGGGGATTGGCCGCGCGAGATGTAGCGCGCAGCATCCGTGAAGACATAATAGTCAATGTCGGTGTATTTCATAGGTGAATTCGCATCCTGCCAGAGTCCATATAACAGGAAGACAACTCTTAGGACGATTGACGTTGTGAAGACCAGTGGTGGACTGCGAAAGAAAAAGAAAAGAGCCATGTTGTCTCCGGCATTACAAAAGCCAAGTTGACCAGACAAGACGCTGAAAAAAGCGAACCCGATGATAGGAGGATCGGAACTGATTTCGCTGGGTGGTGTGTTGATGAAACCCTACAGGATGGACTCTCCAGGAGTGAGAGCAGCCGAAAGCGCCTTAGTCCGTAAACGCGATAGCGTCCACGTGAGGACGTGCACTAGCGGACAATCCCAGCGTTTGCCTGACGTTGAGTATAAGCTCACCATCCACGCAGATTCATGGGCCTCAAACGACCGAGAGACGCAGCAATGGCGGACGAGAAGCCAGAGCAATCTCCATCGCCCTTTGTGTCGATGTTTGAAGGCTTCCGCGCAGAGCTGGATGAACACCATGATCGACGAGAGAGAATCATCAAGGCGTCGCGTGACATCACCGCGTCGAGCAAGAAGATGTACTAGGCAATGTTCGAGGTTCTTGTGGCCGATTGCTAACAACTGTGCAGCATCTTCACTCTCCAGAGGTAGGTCTTCATGATGGCCTTACCAAACACACACTGACCTGACAAGGGTCCGCGCTGTTGGCCAAGCAGTACCACCATGGGTCACCAAGAAGAATGCGGAATACTGGGAGACGATTGAAGATCGCTACAAGAACATCGCCGCCGACCTTCAAGGCCTGAATGCTTACCGCTACTCGCACAACATCACGGGCGGCAATCAAGAGTTCATGGAAGCGCTTAGCTTCCAGCATTACCTTGAAACACAATCACTGATCTCGTACAATGAAGCCAAGGCCCGTATCGCTGCTATGAGCGGCGAAGCTGGACCTATCTCCTTTACGCCAGAAGACTACATTCTCGGTGTCTGCGATATGACTGGCGAGCTGATGCGCTTCTCTGTCACGAGCATGGCGACAAACGGCAAACTTCCGTCTGGCAAGCAAGCAGAGGCGAACAAAAGGCTGAAGCAAGGCAATGGCCAAGACGATGCTGGCGACAAGATGGACATCGACGAGGAAGCATCAGTTGCGAATGAAAGCCAGAAGCCGCGGACTGTCTTGGATGACCTGAGGGCGATCCGGCTGCAGCTCGAGATGTTCGACGCACCGGGAGGGTCCAAGTTTGCAGCAGAGTTGGAGACGAAGAAGATGCCCGTGATGCGCGAGTGCGTGGACAAGGTAGAGAAGGGTCTCTATGGTTTGACTGTGCGTGGAAACGAGCGTCCCAAGGGCTGGATGCCAGATATGAGCAGTGCCAGGGAGGTAGAAAGTTACTGAGCCAGACTACCAAGGCGAATGAAATGCAAGATATCATTCCTGTGCAGTTGTTCCGGTGTGGCTGGGTGGGTGGCGCGGCGCACCCCACTTGGCGTGGGCATCATGGTGCGGTGATGCAGGCCCGAACTTCACACGCCCGTGTCGGTGACAGTGACACCAACGACTATGGTCCTCTGCACCATGCCCAAGACTGATGACCTCGCTCCCGCGCTTCGACTGGCCAGCGCAAATCTAATGCGCACACCCTGAAATCCTGCGTCGACACCCATGGCACGTACTGGCGCCCAACAACAAACCCGCACTTAGCCCTGCTCCAGCCGGAACCGTGGTTCACCAACCAAGCTGCCTACTACTCCCATCCGCGCACCGCCATAGCCGATCGCTACTACACCCTCACTACCCGCGGCTGCGAGGCACATCGGCGATAATCATGCGTCGCAGTACCTGCCCCTCGCGGCCTGGCAAGCCCGAGGCCGCCACGCGCGCACCCGAGCCACCGAAGCGCAAGGTATTCAACTGCATCGTCGACGATACCGCTCTGATCGCCGGCGTCAAGAAGAGCACCCGCGATGGCATCCGCAAGTGGATCGCCCAGGACGCTATACGTCTTTATGTCCCGCTGCACAGTAGGCCATAGCATCGCAGCTTCCCTGTCCCCTTGACTAACGCACAACAAGCCCTTACCCAGCTCCACCGCCTCAAGAACGGCACTGAGCGCATCCACGCCGACGCCCGCGAAGCCGTCAAGTGGCTCGACGAAGTCACGTCCAATGAAGCCGCGAGCCGTGTCCAGCTCGAAGGCGTCGACGAAGCCTACACGACGTGGGGAGAGGTGGAGCACTTCCTGCTACCCGACACATTGCTCTCCATGGAGGATAGCGAGTCGGACGAGGACGACTACCACGAGGATCTCGAAAGCTCCTTCAACGCCCTCGACATGTCCGATGGCACATCCATCAGCTCTACGCACAGCTTCGAGAACGTGTCCAAGACTCCCGAGTCGCCTGGTTCGCGTTCGAGCACGGCGTCCGGGCCAGTCGACGCCACCCCACACACAGACAAGGCAGCCACGCTACTCAGAGCGTCCCCCGACCGTACCGCACGCAGCAGTACCGATATGGCTCGCGCTGACAAGACGACCAAAGGCTCCGTGCCTGTCTATCTCCAGCCCCTCTTCAATCACATCATGTGGCGCATCAACAAGGAGGGCAATCCAGATGCGGCCCTGGAGTCCTTCATCCTCCTCACCAATGATTCTGCCAAGCAGGCCATCGCTCAGAAGTTCGGCATCCGTGCTAAACGCCTTGAGCAGCTCCGAGATGCTGTTGCTCGTGAAGACCGCGAATACAAGAACCATCTGACCATCCACAAGCTAGAGGTCGAAGCGACCGCTGCTAAGAGCGCCTCTCCAATCGCACCCAAAGCCGCAGAGCGACCCAAGTCCAGCCCCATCCACACGAACGTAAACGAGACTAAGCCCGAAGACATCTCCGATGACGAGGACGAGGTACTTTTCAAGCGCGCCCCTCGAGGCCCTGCCGCCACTACCGGCAACCAACACGTCTTCGACCCCAACGATTTTGCTCGCACAAACCAGCAACAGTCCCTTCGCGGTGGACGTGGAGCTCATGCGGCGCCCCGCGGTCGCGGTGGACCAGCCTTCCGGGGCCGTGGTAACTTTGCATCGCGCGGCGCATACGTTCCTCCAGGCCCAGTCTTCCGAGCTCCACCAGCTCCTCGACATGATCCGAATGCGCCTCTCGATCCAGACTCTTTCTCTCGCCCTGCCCCCAAAGTGGGCCCCGTTCGCGGCGGTGGACGGCGAAAGCTATGGGAGCCCAACTAGCAAACCGAAAGATGAGCGTCAGTAGCAACGCAGTAGTCGAAATTCACAACGCCGCCATCGAACGGAACGTTGAACACGATCAAGACACGAGCCATCAGTACACAAGGGGCTTTGAGCAGGATAGGACAGGTACTGGACAGTACGGTGACCTCGCGGCCCCTTAGTCTACATCACATCATGTCAACGCTGAGCGAAAAATGATCGCAGGTCTTAGCAACTGGTCCAACGGAGCATCATGTCCCACATCCTTCCACTCACAGTCAACCCAGAGCTGTCGCTACATCTAACGACTTGACCGGGGTCGACTACACTTTTCAAGAGCATACCTTGTTATTGGGTTTGTTCTCTACGAGCACTCTCTCCTTGTGTGGTTTTGCGCTCATTCTTGCTTTACAACAAAATTGCACAATTGCCTCGTTCGCTACATGGTCATGGTACTTCTGCCGCCCATTTACGGCTAAGAATGTTACCATCCACTTCGAACGAGGTTCTAATATTTGCTTTACCGCCTTCTTGTACGCTTGTCTGTGAGACTGAACGATAGTCTGCCGTAGGAAGCGCGTGCGGTATAAGGGAAGAAACGCCATAGCTATGATCAACTAGGAATAAATGTTTTGTTCTTGGAGGTTTCCACTCGCATGATAGGCTTGATGTCTCTTCGTGAAGTATCGTCAGATTAACTATATAGACACGAAAGAAAGGGCCACACGCCTCGTTCTCTCCTGCAGTACCATATTAATGCGCAAGAGAACGTGCATACCTAGGTGCCACGGGCGGCTACGTTATTATCCAGTTTGCTGCCTGCTCTAAACCTGATGTATTACAGTCTGTCAAGTAGCAGCATAATTAGTATTTATGTAACGGTTCAGTTTCGTGCTTGCACAAAGGAACATGAACACATCAGTATCGAGAGAGCAGCATGTATTTGAAATTATACAAAGAAGAGATAGACACAAAACTCTCTCAGAAACAAGACAAATGGCTATTTTCGCCATTCAAACCCCTACTTCAATCAATTTACTCCCTCACACCCCTTAGCAACCTTCCAAAAGCACTTTGCCTTTTCCTCTTCAGTTCGTTGAAGCTACCCTGTTCAACCACCCTTCCTTGATCCAACACAACAATGTGCTCAGCAATAGCCATCATCTCCCGCGCATGCGTAATGATGATGACTGTCATCCGTTTCTTCGGTCTGTTGCCCATATTACTACCACTGCCCACAGTCATCCGCTGCTGCAGGGGATATCCAACTTTGTAATCCCAATTCCCCTCTATCTCATCCCAAAACCAACCTGAACGGTTCCAGGGTGATGTGGGTGGGGATATAGTGGATCCAGTGTCTTCGATGCCGTGAACGAGACTGAGGATGGTGTCGCGGATGGTCTGAGCGGAAGTTACGTCTAGCGCGCTCGTTGCTTCGTCGAGGATGAGCACATCGGGGTTTCTAACGAGGGCGCGTGCGATTGAGACGCGTTGGGCTTGGCCTCCGGATAGACATGTGCCGCCTTCGCCGATAAGCGTGTTGTAGCCTTGGGGCAGGCTGTCGATGAACTCAGCTATGCCAGCTGCAGAGGCGGCTGCGCGGATGCTTTTGATGCTTGTTTCGGGAAGTAAACGGGATAGGCCGTAGGCGATGTTTTCTGCGACAGTGCCGGGAAAGAGGACGGGCGTTTGTGATACTATGGACATCCGGGAACGGAGGATGGTAGTATGCAAGGTCTTGATATCGTAATTCGAGACGGTCATATCGCTTGACGGGTTGGAGGATGCGAGTGGGTTGTTGCCTACTTGGTAAAGTTTGAGGAGGAGAGAGGCAATTGTAGATTTGCCTGCCCCCGAGGATCCGACGATAGCGGTGCAGCTCCCTTGTGGAATTTGAAACGACACGTCATGCAGTACTCGGGTCTCAGGTCGGGCTGGATAACTGAAGGTGACTTTGTTCAGCGAGATGTCACCTGCAGACTGTATCTGAATTTCGCCGGTGAGCTCGTGTGAATCCTTTGGTAGTCGTGCGAGACGTAGTAATCGTGACCCAGCATCCCTTGCCATGTTGACCTGAGTGACGTAGTTCGCCATATAGCTAACTTGATTGACACTGAGCATGAGAACCAAGAAGCATTCCAACACTTCATTGACAGTGTACTCATTTTTCGACATGAGATAACCTCCATACCAGTATAGCAGGATAGTTACGAAGATGACTCCAGTGAATGAAAGTCCGTGGATGGATGCACAGTATATTGCGCGCTTGATGCCGACATTCACGGCTTCGGTGGTTGCGTTGGTATACCTTTCCTTGAAGTAATCTTCCAAAACTAGGCATCGAACAGTCTTAATATTGACGAACGCGTCGTGGAGCACTTGACCAACCTTGTCAGCGGCCTCATTCTCCAATCTTTCCCAGCGGCTGCTGATAACGTTGTAGCACTTCGTGATTACGAAGAGAACAGGACCGGTTGCGAGAGCAGCCAGGGCCAACTCCCATGCTATGACCATGCTCCAAAAGATAGAAATACAAACCATAAGATTCATAGTGAGAAAGACACAAGCAAACCGGCCTGGAAGATTTCGAGCCTCTTCAGCAAAATGATCCAACGTCTCGGCAAGCCGCGACACGCTGTTTTCTTCCTTGTCGAAGAACTTCCGTGGTTGCATGAGGATGCGCCGCATGGCTTCCTTCTTCAGCGAAAGAGTCCACGCCTGCGCTACTGTATCTGAGAGGAAGAACATGAGGTAGCACGATAAACCATCGAGAGCGGCAATACCAAGAATGACGAGGGCATATTTTTGGGACATTTCCTTCCTAGCGCCAGACACGTAAAAGGTAGTCAAAAGCTGGGCGAAAACCCATGCAAATACTGGTGTGCATGCAGCATGAATCGTTGCGCTGAAGGATGCCGCTAAAATGAGGAGACGCGGACCCCAGCCTATAGCGGGCCACACAGACATGACTATCTCTTTCATGGGAAGAGAGGCGGCCGGGAAATCCTTGTCTTCACTAGGGTTCTTTTTGCGGAAGCGTTTGATTCTCTGAAGAAGCTTATCGTTTCTCGAAGATTTCTTCGGTGCGTCCGAAAGAACTGGGACAGACTCGTTGGTCGCAAAGGGTCGCGAGTACGGACCGATCGGCGAGACCGGTCGCGTAGATAGTTTG